CTGAAGCTGGTTTGCATGGCCATTTACTTCAACCTTCCCAGACTTGCCCTAAGTGTCCTTTGACACTCCGAGCTGGCAGAATTTCAACCCTAGATGATTTCAGTTGACCCTGGAACAACACAGGGTCGACCTGAGCACGTCCAGTTACAGGCAGATTTTCTTCCGCCTCCGCCACCTGCGAGAAAGTACAACCAGCCTCTCTTCTTCCTCCTCCTCAGCCGACTCCATGGTAAGAAAATGAGGATGAAGACCTTTTTGATGATCCACTTTGACTTACTAAACAGTAAATATATTTTCTCTTCCTTATGATTTTCTTAATAACATTTTCTTTTCCCTACCTTACTTTATTGTAAGACTAGAGTGTATGTAATATAACATATATGTAATATATACAAAGTGTGTGGGAGCTGACCGTTTATGTTTTTGGTAAGCTTTTGGCCAACAGTAGGCTATCAGGAGTCACATCTTTGGACAGTCAAAAGTTATAGGAGGGTCTTCAATGCAGATGGGGATGGCACCCCTCGCCCCACAGTGTCCCCTGCTCCTCCTGCCCCTTGCCTCATTCTCTCTGCGTTCTTGGCTTATGCTTGTCAAGAGGCTTATTCTTGCCTCTCACTCCTCTTCTCAGAGCAAATAGACCCCAGCAAAGGGTAGGCACCTGCTCCCTCCTTCCTGCCTCAAGAATCCATTCTCAGGGGAATGGCCACCTGTCCTGGACTCTTAGCCTTAGCGTGAGAGGCATCCTGCTGCCATCTCCCCTGCCCGGGGAACCCTTCTGCGAATGCTTGCTTTCTTCAGTTCCTGCCTCTCAACTGACATTTAAATGTGCTACATCTCTGCCATCTGCGAAATCACCTCCTTGACCCCATGTGCTCCTGGCACTGCCCGGTGCTGTCTCTGCCCTTTGACCCCTTGACAGCCAGATTCCTTGAAATACCATTTCCCTGCCATCCCTACTGCCTCCTCTCCACTCACTCCTCACAGCAATACAGCACTTCTCCCCAGCCCAACCCTGAATGTTCAGGTTCTCTCATCAGCCCCCTTCTTACTCCACAACTACCTCCCAAGGGACCTTGGCAACCCCCTGCTGCCACCTAGGCTATGGGACCTGAATTTACATCTCCTGTGCACCTCAGTTGTGGGCTCCAGACCTGCACTGAGCTAACTGCCAACAGGCTGTCCCACAGTCATTACAGACAGACACACCGGAAACTACTTTCATTTCCGTGACTGTTCTTGGTATAGAATGCCACCCCTGCCGAGCTGCTTGGTAGAGAAAACTGAAGGCGGCGTCTGTGACACCTGCCCCTTCATCGAGTGTTAATTACTCGTAGTCACAGCCTGGGCAGCGCCTCCTCTTAGATGTGACCAGGAGGCATCTCTTGCTTTGTTTCCCTGCCTCTTCCATAATTCAGGCCACCTGGATTACTACACTGGCAGCCCCACAGAGGTCCCAGCCTCCACCCGTGCCACCCCCAATCAGTTTTCTACACCACAGTCACAGTGATCCCTTTAAATGCGGTTTGTTTGGATAATCCCCATAGTAAAACCCTTCAGGTGGCTTCCCATTGCCTCAGGATAAAATCTAAACTGAGAGGCTGCTGTCCCTCTCCCCCCCATCTTCTCAGCTCACTGGTTCTCCAAATGGGGGGCATCTCTCCCCTCGGGAACATTTTGGAAATTCTTGGGGGTGGCTTTAGAAGTCACAGTGATTGGGAGGTGATCTGAGTGGCATTTAGTAGGTGGGAGTCAGAAATGTGAGACATTTTCATGAAACAGAAGATGATACCATGTCCCCAAAAGCTTTTGAGCATCTAATAAACATCCGTGAAGGAGGAAGCTTTGTTTATAATGGTCTGAGCTGGGCGCCTAACTCTACTTTTTAAAACTTGTCAACATGTTCACAACGCACCTGTCCGTGGCTGCTCATATGCTGTGATTCCCCAGATCTGACCATCTCCCCACTTCATTATGTCTTCTGGCGCAGCCAGGCCCGGCCTGCGCTGCTGAAGTCCAGATCAATTCTTCATTGATTATTTTCTTTTTATTTCTCCTCTGTATTAATATTGGCACCTTAAGTTGATGTCATTTGGAGGTTATATGTATTGGTAGGCTTCAAATGTCATGTCAGGATAGTAAAGAATGTTAGGAAATATTTGTAATAAAAAGGGAAGTTTGGGGCAGATGAGGAGGATGAGAACTGCTGTGACACCGTGTGAGTCACACTGCGCTCCGAGGACCTCTCACCCTGTACTGTTGCCACCTGCTCTTCTGTGTCCCCCTTTCACAGAGACTGGTGGATGTCCTGTTTACATCTGTGCCTACCACAGTGTCTAATTTATACTAAGTGCTTCATAAAAATGTGGTTGAGAAAGATGGATATTGACATTTCTATTATTGTATCTATTAAGTTGACGCTGAAAGGACGGCATTCTCCAGACACAAACCAAGTGAGGAGAGACAAGAGAAGGCCCGATGGGCTGGGGTTAGGGGCCAAGGGCAGCCAGCCAGGGAGTATTTATGGCTACTGGCATGTGTGGATCTAAAGTTGGCCATTCAAGAACTCACAGATGGATCAGGTGACCAGAGTCCCTGTCAACTACAGGATTTTGTAATGCTATGACGCATTTCTTTTAGAAACCTCTAAGTACTTTGTGTTTACCAAGTGTAGTCCATACCACAGTTTCAAAAGAAGAGTGGCAGTTTTATATTCTAGAATGACTAATATTTTTGCACATACCATATAATTGGTGACTAGAAACAAATTTCAACTGCCTTACTATGTTTGCCAAATAAAAGGCATTGTGCAGAAGGAGTGCTCATGGTCGAAAAAGGTTTTATTTGGTCTTGTTGGTAATGTTAATCTGGCAGCAGAGAAGGATGAACTTCAAAAGAGTCAAGTCCCAAGCAGTCTAGGGTCTTATTTCTCAGAGCAGCGAAAGTGGTAGTGTGTGGCATTAATCATAATAGTCCATAATAATGAAATGTGCAACAACTCTCTCCTACTGGACATTTTGGGTCAGGGATGACAGCAGACACTGGAGTTGCTTGACCTGGATTCTCTTTGGCAGGCAGGAGTATTCATCCTCCAGGTGCCGTGGCATTGGCTCCTAAAATGTTCACAGGTGTCCCCCTTCTCAGAAAACTGCACTCAAGTACTTGGTCCAGGAGTTTCTGGACTCACTGAGGCAGGGGTGGGTGACGGTCTGATGAACATGTAGCCAATGACTGAGGTGCATATGGCTTCCCCCAGGGGGGTTCAACTCTGAGGCACAATCCCTGCTCCCGGCTCCCTGTGGGGTCAGACTAAAGCCATGCTGCAGTGGAGGTACAGCCTCCCCTCCCCTGTCCTCTCCTATTTCTCCTACTACCATACGCCCAGGCTCACGCCCTCAATAAATCACACGCACCATCCCAGAACCAGTCTCAGCTTCTGCTCTTATGGAATCTGATCTACAACACGGATCTAGGCCTTTTCTGAGGTTTCTGATAGTTTGCAAAGATCAGATTTCTTTCTTAATTTTTATTCAGATTTCAGGGTTTATAGCTATGGATAAGAAAATGATTGTTTGAAATTAAATGGCTAGATTTCAAAATTAATTTCAAATCATTCCCTTATTGCATCTCTCAAACACTATTGTAATGATTTTATTTACATGTCTGTCTTCTGTATCAGGTAGAAGAGGGTCAGAACTGTATTTTACACTCCAGGACCACCACAGTGTCTGGCTGGGGCCATGGGTGGTGCACAGGTAATTGGGACAGATGCATTCAATACAGCTTCAAGAGATAATCTTCGGAATTTACACAAATTAAATTGCATAATATAACACATAAAACACTTTAAACCATTATTGTAAAAATATTTAGGATGTGGATTTAAAATGAGGAGTACCTTGGCCGTTACACCTTTGAGTTTCATGATGATCACGATGATCTTAGTGATCCCGGATTTCATTAGTTTCTTCACTAATTTCACTAGTTTCCACACTTTGAAACTTTCTTTACTTTGCCTGGGTTCCCAGATTTTAGCATTTTCTTCCCCAAATTAAATGTGTTGGATTTGCTTTTCTTTTTATATGGCACACGTTGGCTCATGAGTACAGTCCTAGATAAAGCTCCTCAGCAGAGAAGATGAATTATATGGAGGGGGAAGTTATGCTAGTTTACATTTTTCATTTAAGAATTTGGTTCTGTGTCCTACTTCATTTCTACCATAACATGATAGAACCTCACCTCAACTCTTACACAGCTGTCCATGTACAACCACTCAACTCTGCCTGTTACCTTGACAGCCGCCATATAGAACGTGTTAGCACACAGGCCTGGCTGTGTTTTAATGAAACTTTGTCAGGCTATAGTTTGCCAACTGAATTGGTAGATTCTCACAAATATTCACAACTGCAATTTTGACAAAGCAATTTGATTTTTATCCATGAAACTACCTTTTAAAAATCCCACACAATTCTGTTGAAGGTGGGATGAAACGGATACTATCATACTTTTCTAGTGATCTTGAAAATTAATTGGCGAGTGCTTTCCAGAAAATATTTTGGAAAGAGCCAAATATATTACCTTGAAATATATTATTTCAAGAGACATAAAACCTTGGTTAAAGTTAGGAGTGCATTTAGACATATAGTAAAGTACAGAAGCAACTGACATGACCACAGATAAGGTAACAGATGAATAAGGTGAATAAATTCATTTTGCCCCAGCTCTGCTCAGTGAGAAGCCTGGGTCTGACGGGCTGCCCAGAGTGAGAGGTTTAGAAGGCGTGCCTAAGGCCCAACGCTGGGAAAGATTGAAAAAGTCACTCAGGAAATATTTTGCATGGTTCCTTACATGATCAGAAGCCTACATAAGTATCAGAAGAAAATGCTTATGATAAAATGTGAAGGGAAAAAAATTCATATATATAATTGTATGAGCACTCTGATTACAGCAACACAAAAGCGTAGGATGTACACAGTGGGAACTTACAAAATGCTAATAAGGCAAGTGGTTGGCTTTCTATTCCCCACCCTGGCCCCACCCCTCGCTGTGCTCTATGTGGCCAGCAGGCTGCAGGGGCTCAGAGCAGGGATCTGGAACCGAGCAGTGCGGCTCTCACTCCTGATCCATCAGCTCTGTGACCCTGTACCTCAGATCCATCACCAGTAAAATGAGGATAGTACCCACCTCACAGGGTTGCTGTGAAAATTAGAAAATACAACACATAAAACACTTCAAACCATTACTGGACCATCCTGTTATGCAAGACTTGCAATTACTGTCAAGTGACTTTCCTAATTAAGTTAATACATTTATATTTTTCCAGAAACATTTCACCAAGGAGTCTAAAAGTAGAATTATAACGGTGCTCAGTTGAGAATGATGCATCCTCAAAGCTATGATACTTACAGAATCAACCAAGATGTGTGAATGAGTGTGGGATTCTCCTTCCAAAGGCTGAGAAAAATAGACATCTATGGAATACTGTACATCTGGTTCTAAACAGATGGGTGTGGGAAGCAGCATGATTCTGCATTAAGAGAAATAGGGCAAAAATTCAGTGACAAAAGTACAATCATATTCTCTAAGTGTCGGGAAGTGGGTCCCACTGTGGGGCTGGGGCCAAGTCGAGGTCTAGACCAGCATAGGTGCGTTGGCGGGATGGTGGATTCACACACGGGTCCTCAGTGGCTCTCCCATAGGACTGTGACAAATAGCAAAGTCTTAGAAACTATCGCCATGGGTTGTCATGAGAGCTCTGGAGAAAGGAGGGACTAGATACCCTTCATTCTATCTGTTGTGCTGGTATCAGAAGGGTCTCTGTTTAATTTTGCCCCACACATCTCTGATAAGGCAGAATGAGTGGCCTCAAAATTAGTAGCTTTGTACCTCATAGATTCTCAGCTGGTGAGAGTACCCAAGCTGAATACTTTATTCTTATTCTTATAGTATTTTACTTATTTACATTTTCAAGCCACTTGGGGACTGGAATACTGGGTTGGAATCTGGTTCCACTACATAACAGCCTTGAGCCTTGGGCAAGTCATTTAAGTATTCTTCTCAATTTCTTCTTCATCTGGTAAAGATAATAAGATTGGCCCTGCCGAGTTATGAGGAATAAATGTGATATTAGATGTACAGCATAGTGCGGCACACAGTAAGTGCATAATAAATGTAATGGCCTCCTTCAATATGTCTCCCCTCCTACTTAGTTCCCAGATACAACAAACCCCCAAGAAACCTTCAATGTTTGAGGTCAGGTCCAAGTGTACCTGGCAGCTGCTGGTAAGGCAGAAGATTGAGGCTTCGGCTGTGGAGTCTTTGGGGCGCAGGATTCACTCCCTCCAGGGGGGTTAACCACAAGCTGGACAGCCCAGTCAGCTGAGGACTAGACAGGCAGGGCATGAAAACATGTTACTGGGAGGATGTAGCAGACGGTTTGCACTCACTCAATATGGATAGGACATGAACTGAATTTGCAACCCACAGGCCACTTGGACAGTAGAGCTTTGGAGTTGAAAGAGGTCTTAGAGGTTCACTCTGGGCCCAACTCTCAGGTGTCTGAACTGTGATCCAGGTAGAAACAATATTGCTTCTCATGCCTGTATCCTAGCACTCTGGGAGGCCAAGGTGGGTGGATTGCCTGAGCCCAGGAGTTGGAGACCAGCTTGAACAAGAGCAAGACTCTATCTCAAAACAAAACAAAACAAAACAAACTAGCTGGGTGTTATGGCAGGTGCCTGTAGTTCCAGTTACTCAGGAGGCTGAGGCAAGAGATTTGCTTGAGCCCAAGAGTTTGAGATTGCTGTGAGCTATGGTGCCACAGCACTCTAACTGGGGAACAGACTGAGAGTCTATCTTAAAAAACAAAAACAAAAATAAAACAAAATCAAAAAGAACATTCTTTCTGGCTACAGCTGTAGTTCATGGGCCTGGAAAAACCCTAACCCTCCTGACAGGTCTAAATTTTCAACCCCCTTCTCTCAAAGAGTTGATAAATTCATCATGTCCCTGGATCACAGAATAAATAATAACAATTTGGAATCCTTCACTAAAGGATATACGCACACACATTCACATGCATACATACACACAGATGCTAATTAGTTATATTCTGGAAGTCTTATAATTTGGAAAAGCTTTTTAAAGTTTTCAGGGTTATACTCTATGGATAAATTAATCTATTAATATTTTTTCCTTTTTCCTTTTTTTTTTTGAAACAGAGTCTTGCTTTGTCACCCTCCATAGAGTGCTGTAGCGTCATAGCTCACAGCAAACTCAAACTCTTGGGCTCAAGTGATCCTCTTGCCTCAGCCTCCTAAGTAGCTGGGACTATAGGTACCTGCCACAATGCCTGGATATTTTTTAGAGATGGGGTCTGCCTCTTGCTCAGGCTGGTCTTAAACACCTGACCTCAAGTGATCTACGCACCTCAGCCTCTCAAAGTATTGGGATTATAGGCGTGAGCCACATCCAGCTTAATACTTTTTCTTTTTTCCTTTCTTTCTTTCTTTTTTTTATTTATTTTTTTGTTTGTTTAACAGGCCTGGGCTGGATTCAAACTCCACCAGCCCTGGAGCACATGGCTGGCACCCTAACCACCGAGCTATGACGCTCAGCCTCTGTTTAAATGGCTTTCTTATATTCATCAAGTCAAAGTACAGTGAGCTGTCTTGGCTTTCATTTTAATTGAGAAGTGGAGAATTATGTTTCATCAAATATAGTCCCTAGCAGAGCTTTAAAGCCTCTAAGATCACACCCCTCTCCAGTTGTAGAAAACATTTTTCGAGGGAAAGTATCAGTGGGTTTCAGATTACCAAAGAAAAGGTCAGGAACTCCTGCTTTAGATCAGGTGTTTTTCTGATTGGGTTTCTAGCCTGTCTGAGGGATTTCTCCCTGGGGGCGGTGGGGCAGCAGGAGAGGGGAGGCAGCAGGGGCGTCTGCTTTCTGTCCTCCTGTTGCAGGGTGCTATCCAAGTGCCAGCAAATTCTTCTGTGGCATCGCCTGTGGGTCTGACTCTGCAAGTGTGTGGGTTTATTAAAACGTTAGAAACAAAGCCCCAAGAGGGCAGGATTCTGTTCTTGTAGTTGTTTATTATCGTATACGAACATCTAGTCACCACTTCCTTAAATCTGGGACCATAAATATGTTACTCCATCTTTAGCTCTCTCCGTGGGATAGAGCACGCCTGCCTTCAGTATCTCTAGGAAACCTCTTGCTTCATAATGCTCTCCACAGGTTTTGCAAACCGTTTTATAATGAACCTTTTCTAGCAAGGCTGAAACCAAAGTGCTGAGTTTGAGAGGATAGTATTTCTGTCAGTTTTTTACCATTGCAGAAGTTGGAGTTAAGGGATACCTGGGCTTCATAGCGGATGGCCACAGTGAAGTTCATGGGGAAGGGAATGTTGTTGACAGCAAATCTCAAGCCAGCCCCAGAGAGAACCCTGGCAAATCCAGGTCCAGTCCATGCAGCAGGGTTCCCAGGAATTGGCTCTCGTAAAACAATGTGAACAGTAGGTCTCTGGCCAAAAGTCGCTGAGCTCTGAAACGGGAGAGGAATGTAAATAGCTTTGCCTACAGTCCAGGCCTAAAAGAGTACAGGAAACAAAACAAAACAAAACAAAACAGAAGACGCTGCCCTCCTCCCCATAATTCCTGCTGTGTATATGATTCTCCTGAGTCTCAGATAAATTATTCCAGCCAGGATACAGTCCAGAATCCAGAGGAGAAGGATGTGCTGAGGCTGCAGCTTTGGAACACATGTTGCTGTATAGAAAGACCGATTTGGAAGCGGCGCTGGAAGCCACTTTAATTTTAAGTGCTCCACTAAAGAGCTGAGCAAAACCCACATGTGATGACCTCTGGTTTTCTCAGATATGACTGTGAAATTCTGGCCAAAATATAGAAGAAAAAGAATATTCCCATGTCTACTTTACAGATTTTGCCTAATTGTGCATGACAATGAGAAAACCCACACGGATCTGTTTTCGAGATACTTCTCCCATGCTCCTTTTCTGTCTGCTTGGGGGCATGTAAGTCCAAACCTCCTAACACACTTGCCTGAGCAGATTCCCTGTGGGTCTCTATGCCGGATGTCAGCCCCAGGCCATCTGGACCCTGCTGATCGTACCTCTTTAATTACTTTTGCATCTGCCTCTTCCCTCTCACAGCCTCCACTCAAATTCCTCCTCGTGTTTCTTTTGCTTGTGCTGCTGCAATAGCCTCTTGGCTACGCTTTCCTCTGTCTCCCTGGTCCAATTCATATTACACACCACTGCCAACAAAGCATTTTAGACTCTTTCTGACTGCCAACAGAATAATGCACAAGTTACTTAGCCTGGAGTTCCAAGTTGCTCTGTGGTCCACCTCAAACTGCTCTGTTTGATGTTTGTTTAGTAACAATTAAGAGGCAGCCTCTGAATTAGGAATGCAAAGATAAATAGGATAGAGTCCCTGCCATAGAGGAGATTAGAATCTTGCATTAAAGAGAGTAATGTAAACCAGAAACTGTTCCACCACGTTTGGTTTTAATAGACAGAAGTGTATGCAAAGTCATCCACATGTAATGTTTTTGCAAATATTTAAGAAATAGCCTCAAAATCAAAATCACAGTAGACACTGCAAGTTCCTCTCCAGACCCCCTTTACTTGGCTGGTACATCCAACCCCCAGATGCCGTGTGTGATGCTAACTACTCCCAGTTGACCCTTGCTCTGGAGAATTGCTCTTTCACGTATCCCCCCACCCCCACCCCCAGGGAACTCACAGCCAACAACTAACTCAAACAAAGGTGTCAAAAGGCTGGTCCTCTTGTCTCAAGGGGCAGGACAACTTGGCATGCTATTTATGCTCTTGAGCTTCTCTGAGGACCAATCCAATTTGTTTTGCCTGAGACCACTTCTTACTCTGCCCTTTCTGTTTCTCTGTCTTCTTTCCTTCACTCTTTCAAAGACTATTCCTGAAGAACTGTCTTAATAAATCACAGGCAGCTGCCTCTCATCTTATCCTCTGCTTCTAAGGCCCCTGACCTGAAACAGTAGATACCAGACAATTTACCTAAAAGCAGATCCTAAGATGCAATTCTAGGGGTGGCTAATTTGCTGTTCAGCTGGTAATGAGGACCCCAGGGTGTGATATGGTACTGAAGATCCCTGGCATGCAGTAGTAGTACGACTGCTAAAACTGTCACCTGTGGAGACTGGATAGGACAAAAGGGGATGTGAAAGCACTGACTGAGCAGTATTTCTGGCACTGAAAAATATGAGACATAATAATTATAAGGATTGCGGAAATGGGTGGCTGTTAGCGAATGTCTTTGATAGAGAAAATGACAAGCTCAGGTGATTTATTAATCATCAGTTTAAAGCAAAGGATGAGAATCAGAGGGCCTCCTTGGGGACATGTATCAGGAGATGCTCATCTCAAAAGCAGGAATGCTAAAGCAGTGGTTCTCAACCTTCCTAATGCCTCCAAATGCCACGACCCTTTCATACAGTACCTCATGTTGTGTTGACCCCCAACCATAAAATTATTTTCGTTGCTACTTCGTAACTGTAATTTTGCTACTGTTATGAATTGCAATGTAAATATCTGACATGCAGGATGTATTTTCATTGTTACAAAGGGGTCGCGAGTCACAGGTTAAGAACCGCTGAGCTAAAGGCTACTCACAAGATTAAACAGCAAAAGTTGCAGAACTTCAGGGAAGGCTGATTATCAGCCGAGGTAAGTTACCAACACAAACATGTAGACTTCTTGACCAGCCCCAGATTCTTTGACCTAGCATTCTGGGGTCAGACCCTAGAATCTGCATTTTAAATAACTCCCCTGGTAATACTTATGCACAGTGAGATTTGCGGACCATCGATCTGTGCCTCGGGATAAGGGGAGGAGTGTAGTTGCGCATGCCCCGCTCTGCTCTGTCAGGTGGACTGCAGACTGAGAGAGCCACTTCCAGCACGGAGTCAGAGAAGGCTCCGTGGGGATGTGGTGCGGGAACAGAGGCGTGCATCCTCACAGGGAGGTGGGGGAGACATGGGAACTCGACCTCAGGTTCTCCTGAGCACTCTCAGACTACAGATGGGACCCACTTGCCCTTGCTGGAGAATAGAGCACTCTCAGACTACAGATGGGACCCACTTGCCCTTGCTGGAGAATAGAGCCACCATTCCACTCCACCATGTTGCAGACCAGGTCAAGACCGCACAGGGTGTGAGTGGCTGATAAGCAAAGGCATGTCTTCCACAGATCTGCCTGTACTGCCCCACCTGACCACTTGCTCAGTAACTAGGGGCGAGTCTCAGCATGGTCTGAGTGGGAAAGTAGTGCGTCTCTGAAAGCGATTATGACCCAGGAACTATGGGTCTGTCTGACACGTACCACCAGCTACTGGGAGGGCACGCTGCATGTGGGTTCCCAGGAGCAGGATATGAAACTGGATAGGGAGAGTTTGTTGATTTGGGGTCACCTGTGACATAGGATGTAACAGCCTCACTAGAGTCCTGGGAGATGGATCTTGTATGTTACTCGAGTAACTATTGGAAGCTTGACAACAGTTTGGCCCTGAAGAAATGAAGTGCAAGCGGCAGAACGGCTGTAGCAGGCGCAGAGGAGAGGATGCGCAATGCCAAGAAGAGGAAGTACTGGAACGGATCTTTCATCCAGACCAGAAAACCCACCAGCTGACTATGTTCCTGGGCTGGAGGACTCCATCTGCCAAGACAGCAGGAGCAAGCTGGTTGGGAGACCACCAGCGTCACTGCGAAGCTGGGTGCTGACTATCCTCTGTGGGTTAGTAAGGTTACGACATGCTGTTGCAAAACTGAGTGCCTTACTATCAAAGTTCGGGCAGTAGTACTTGGCTCTCAAAAGCAGGATGTGTGTAATTACTACTGGGCAGCAAAGCACAAATTAGAGACAAGGGAGACTGACCCACAGGGACCTTCTGTGGAGATGATGAATAGAACATGGTGTTCCTAAGAGCAAGATGATGGATGATCAGTCAAGAAAAGCATTATTTAATATATATCATCATATGTGAGCAGGTATGAATCAGCTGAAGGCAACGTCAACTGCAACCATGGAATGCCATGATCTTTTGCCAAGTTTCTGGATCTGGACCACTTCTCAGATCCCTGAACCCCTTACTGAATGAGAGATCGGGTCCCAGTGAGGAAGGTCTCCTCAACATCACAGCAAATGTGATTCTCTTGTTTATTCTCCAGAGAGAGCCATGATTATTTACTTCTCTAACTGTTAATGTTAGTGGACAGAGGATCTGCGTCAATGCTGATAACCCTGTACTCCCCCAGTCAGGAGTCCCCTGTTAGAACAGGGTCATGTGTGGGTCAGGCAATAAATGGAGGGCTGGTCTTGGCCTCTTTCATAGTGAGTTTGCTGGGTTACAAGAAGCATCTATTGACAATTTCCTCCAAGTCCTGAATATGTAATGGAAACGGACCAGCTTTGTGGTTGGCATTGGCTCTTTGATCTGTAGGTAAGAGCTCTTATAGTAGGAAAAGCCAAGTAAAAGCCTGTGAAATGAGCCCTCATCCTACTTACCCCCTCTTACTGGGCCACAATGGTACATGAAAAGCAACATCACAAATCAGGGGCATCCTCAAAGGACCACTGTCAGGACTTAAAGGATGAGGGGGCTAGTGGTTCCCATCAATCCCCATTTAATTCACCAGTCCTTGGCAGATGGAAGTGAATTGCCAGACATGTAACTAAATTGCAACCTCACCTGCAGTTGGTGTTAGATAGAGTAACTTCACTAGCATAGAGTACCTGTCGTACATGCTGCGCAGCTATTGATGTGCAAAAATGTATTCTTTTCCATAATTGAAAAAGAGCAACAGTCTTACAATATAGCTTAAAAGGATCTGAACCATCCAGATATTCTATAAAATATCACTAATCTCCTGTGTTGAGGGCTAGTGAAGTGGGTGCCTTCACCCAAGGTAATGTGTGGTCTCTCATGGTGACAAACAGCCACTCCATAACATCTCCTCTGCACAAGGGACCCACTTTACACAAAAGAAGTTCGGTAGTGGTCGTGTGACCTTGGGATCCATCGCTCCTACACGAAACTTTGGTACCACCCACAAGATGCTGATCTGGGATGGCAGTGGAGTGGGGCCCCTTAAAGAGGCAGTTGCAGCATCATCTTTACTAGCTGGGAAATGACACCCCATGAGATGAGCAGCGTTCTTCAGGACATTATGTGTTCCTTAACCAACAGCCTTTACATAATGTTGTGACCCAGTAGGTAGAATACATGGGGTTGGGAACCAAGTAGGACTAGCCATGCCCACCATCACTCTCAGTGGCCATGGGAATTTGGGCTTCCCATCATTGTAACTTAGGTTCTATGGATCTAGAGGTCTTTTTTTTTGTTGTTTTTTTTTTGCAATTTGTGGCTGGGGCTGGGTTTGAACCCGCCATCTCCAGTATATGAGGCCAGTGCCCTACTCCTTTGAGCCACAGGTACTGCCCAAGATCTAGAGGTCTTGATCTTGGATGGGGACAAAGAATTCCACTA